GTTTTGAGTTTCATGGTGCAAAGGGAACCCACTTGACGGAGCAAGTCCCACGGTCCAGAAGGGCAACTGCAGCGTTTTACTCTACGCCACGCTAAACCGGCCACTCCCCGGGTTTCCGTGGACAGCCTGAGTCAATGCAACAGCTAATCCAACTGCCACTGAGGGGTAAAACGTGGCTTTGCGGCTCACGTGGAGTCCCGTCCCAATTCCGTGGGGCATCCTTGCACCTTATTTTTAACAAAAAAGGGATTTTAGGTATCCATTCCTACCGCTAGGTCCGAAGAACTACGCCACCCTCTGCTTCAGTCCGTTCTGGGTTTGAACCAAACCACTAATGAGCTGGAAATGCGTTAAGACATGGAAAACACCCAGAGTTGTTTTTTTTTAAACTGCTTTTTTAATTGAAAAATAAAGTTTTGCGTTCCTTGTCAACTTTCCCTGGTGTTGGGTGGACTCCCGTTCTCGTCCGCTGAAGTCAGGGCGTGATGGGGGTTGTAGTCCGAGAGCATCCGGAGCGCACCCTTGGGGGGAGGGCTCACCCGTTGATTGAAAGCCAGCGGCTCTTGGATGGGGCTGCCCCACTGATTGGGAAAAATGTATTTTTGGAGGCTGGGTTTTGATCGCTTTTTGACTTTGGGGGGGGGGACTTGCGTCTTTTCTTCCGAACGGCCCGTTTCCTGCCTCTCAGACGCCCACGAGGTGAGCCTTTTCTCTCTTTTTTTTTTCCACACGTCGGGTGGAAATGAAAGCAGTTCCTCTCCGGAGTGCAGGTTTTCAAATATAAATTGCTCTAAAGAGGAAATAATTGCCCTGTTTTCGTTTGTATGTTTTTTTTAAAACAAACTTCTCTGCCTTTATAGCGCTGCTCAGATATCAATTGCTCTAAAGAGGAAATAATTGCCCCGTTTTCGTTTGTGTGGGTTTTTTTAAAAAACAAACTTCTCTGCCTTTATAGCGCTGGTTCCCTGTCCGGTTTCAGGCGCTCTTGCCCGGCCCAAATATAAATTCCTCCACATGGCAGGCGTTTGGGAGATATAGCAGAAATGTCCAGAGGATGATGTCCTGGGAAAGGAGGCATGACCATCTAGAGAGGACACAGCCGTTGTGCTGATTTTTTTGAAACAGATTTTGGAGGGAGCAGGCGATGGATGGGCCCCCGTTGGCTTCCTTAGCCCGCTTGCCCTCTGGGCATTTCGGCCTCCAGTGCCTAGCAGCCCCGGCTGACGTGCTCGGGAAGGAGGGCTCTTGACCAGGGGACGATGGGACTTGGAGTCTGCCCTCAGGCAAGCGAACCCAAATAGGGGTGGGTGACTGGGCTGGAGAACTTGTGTAGAGGGGAGGTAAGGGTGGAACGAGTGATCTGCCCTAGAGTATGGTCTTGGTTTGAGTTAGTCATTCATTCCCAAGTTTCTAGCCCTTGTGAGGTTGGGAAGAATGGCTAAGCCCGAGCTTAAGGAGGGAGGGTGGGCATGGTTTTTAGCGCAGGCTTCCAGCAATCAACGGGGGATCAGTGGCCCTTCTCCTCTCCAGGGCCGAGAGAATGGCTGTTACGAATAATTGCTGGAGGGGTTTTGTTTTCGTAGGGGACGATGGGCTCCTTGACCCCTGTTCTCGGGTCCAGGTTGATCCAGCGGTGGGGATCTGCTTTGTGGAAAAAAGAAGCCTGATTCAACCGAGGAGCCCTAGGCTGAATCGAATAGGGCAACCCCCCCCCTGCTCAGTTCCCATGAGCTTCAGCCAGCACCGGTGGTGAAAGGATAATGGGCTTTGTAGGCCAACAACTCTAGGACATGTTACCCATCAATGGCATAAAAAGTGCCCCTCCCCACAACCGGGTGATGCTGTGTGGCTGGGCCGAAATTCAGTGTCACCCTTTAAAGCCAGCGTTTGGATCTCTGAACCTCAGCGTGGCCGCCCACGAGCCGTCCTCCTGAACTGCCTCCCAAAGCCGGGTTTTGAGGTCCACGGCTACGTGCGCTCCTCGGCTTAACAGTGTCCCAGCTCATGTGCTTGGCAGGCAGATGGGGGTCTGCCCCTCCGCAGCTCAGCCAGGCGGGATCGGCCTTCCATCCCCGTTCTCCTGCTCCCGATCCACTCATTTTCCGGCGTCCCCGGAGCAAATCCCTGGCCTTTAATCTCTTAATGCCGCTTGCAAACGCTCCCGGCGGGCACGTTTCTGGAAGCCTCGTCCCTCTTGTTTTTCACAGTTCTGCCTGGCCGGTGCCGTCGATGGCCGATGGCTGGTGGAGAGCCAAGCCGCCTCGTTCCTCCTGCTCTGGTCTTCCGTCCTTCTGTTGTTTTGTGACCTCTAAAAGGTAAAATGCACAGACCCATTCTTTGGGAGGTCGCTCGGGGCTGCTTCCAGAAGGGTGGCACCAGGGCAGTGGGTTCAGGCCATCAGCCTTTTTTTAAACCCCTTGCTGCCTCTGCTTCCATCTCGTCCAAACCCTTTGCACGGACCCACTCCGGGTTGCATGCGTGCGCGTTTCCTTCCGACGCTCGGCCGCCAGCACACAGTGGGGATGCTTCTGGAGGACACCCGCCAGATGGACAGGCCCTACGTGACACAATCATGCGACAGATGTGGGTTTAAAAGACGGCACCCCTCGGCACGTGCGGTCTCGCGGCTACGTGCTCGGCCGTGTCCGGGGAAGATTTTTGGACCGGGTTGGTAATCGTCCGTTGAACTATCCTTGCCTCCTGCTTTAATCCTTTGCTGCTGCGTGGCTCTGTGAAGGCTGGAGGGTGGCGATGGTTGGGCCCCTCTCCACGAAACCACTATCGGTTGTCAAATCGTCATCATCTTAGAACTGCAGAGCTAGAAGGGGCCCAATGGATCATCGAGTCCAGCCCGTCAAAGAAGTACAACGGGAAACCGAACTCTTGACCAGTATCTAAGCCCTTGAGGTATCGTATAGTCCAAAGCTGAATAGTGTTGATAGCATGTGAAGATGATGAAGGAACATGTTGAATCTTGGCCTGATTAAAATTATGAAGTTCGTCCTCCAGGTCACACTGAGCATCCTTGGGATTGAGTAAGACCACCCGTTGTTTGAGGCGAAGTGTTAGGATCCAACTCATTATAAGAGCCAGGAGCCTTTGTGTGTCTGTCTTTTTCCTCTGCCCTCCTCTGCTCTTCTTCTTCATGTGCCATGTCTTAAAGCCAAAAGGGTTGGGCGTCACCTTTCAAGACAAGAATCTGAGGACATTTTAATGGGGAGTGGGGGTTCTGTTTGCCATCTTGGCAGTGTAGCGTAGCAGGAAGACAACTTCATCCTCCATGGACATGGGGACTTGAGGATGATGGTCCAATCCAGCTGGGCAGCAAAACCAATGAATGACTGGACTGGGTGAAGGTCTCCATGAAGGGTGGAGACTGTACCTCTGTGGTTCTTGTGGTCTCCTGGGCAATTTGGTCCCTGAAGTGCTGGATAGCTTAGGTTTCTGGAGGTTGGGAGTTCGATTCCCTACGGCGGCTCTTTGTCTCAATGATCCGCAGGGTCCCCTCCAGATCTACAATTCAAAAGTGATTATTATTATACCAGCCAATGGTGAAATCTTACTTTCCAAAGCTCACACCACTGCATGCAACCACCCCATTATATTTTCTTTTATCCGCCGGCTCTTTTACAAGCATCACGGAGCAGCTGCCAGCCTCCTCTTCCTTCATTTCTAAAAAAATCAACAAGATCTTTATTTTACACAACCCTTTTGCTGCTCTTCTTCACTGTTCACAGAAGCCTTGTGTCTTTCGTGCGTCCGTAGGCGGAGAGCCTTGGCAGACGTTTTTGTGGCTTGTTAGGGGAAAAATAAAGACTGAGTGGGCAGGAAAAGACACCCAATTTCTTCGGATCAGTTTTTTTTTTCTTTAACTGTGCTGATCTGACCAGATCCTTATAACTTAAATGGCTCTCGAGTAAGTAGGTTCAGATTTTGCATTTTTCCAAGCCTGTGTCGCTATAATCTTTTTGACTCGCAATGACTTTGCAAATGATTGTTTTTTTAATATAGTGAAAATGGCAATTTAAAATTTTTCCCCATTCATTCATTCTGTTTATTTATTTAAAATATTTTTATGCCACCGTTTTCCATCAAAAGGACTCAAGGTGGCTTATGTCACTCAAAGACATTTAAAAGCGAGAAACAGGAAGCAGGCAAATATTTTTAAAAATAATCACATACAACCATTTTTGAGGACCGTTACTGAAGCTTAAATATCTAAAAGTTATTTTTTTGAAAAAAAAATCTATTTTAAAAAAGAAATTATCTTAAAAAAAAGAAATTAAGTGGAAAGCCCTTTGTACATGCTCAGAGAAGCACGCGCTGTCCATTTAAACTCCCTAAAAGGAAGGGGGGAAAGAGACTTTTACTGCGGGGGGGAGCTCTCGACTCCCCCCTTTCCACTTGGTTTCGCCCACTGGGCGAAGAGGGGAAACTCCCCGTCTCGTCCCTTTCTGCCAAGCTCCGCCTCAAAAGGCGAGGCCGCGCAGTGCCTTGTGGGAAGCGTAGTCTCCACGGAAGGACTGAGCAGGACTGAGAAGGCGCGGGTGGACTCGATTTCCCGTCGTCCTTTGCCGAGGCGCCGCGCCCTGCCCGGTCCTTCCCCGCGCGGGGCACGCCGGGAGGCGTAGTCCCCCCCGCCCGCTCCTTCTTTCTGCCAAGCTCCGCCTCAAAAGGCGAGGCCGCGCAGTGCCTTGTGGGAAGCGTAGTCTCCACGGAAGGACTGAGCAGGACTGAGAAGGCGCGGGTGGACTCGATTTCCCGTCGTCCTTTGCCGAGGCGCCGCGCCCTGCCCGGTCCTTCCCCGCGCGGGGCACGCCGGGAGGCGTAGTCCCCCCCGCCCGCTCCTTCCCTTC